AGCGGCGGCGGTGGCTGCTCCCGCGCCAGGCTCCGGCCATCGCTGCCCGCCCCAGCGCCGCAGGCACCGGCCGCTCACATCGTCCGGCCCGGGGGGAAGGTCCGCAACGAGCCGCACGCTCCTGCCTGCAGCAGCAGCAGCCAACAGCCGCTGCTAGCACCGCCGCCGAATGGCAACCGCAGCCTCTGACGCCCGGCCGCGGCGAGCTGGGGGCGGCGGGCGAGGCCGCCGATTGGGCCCCGTGCCTCCGCTCACCCTCGTCGAATTGGGCCGCCACGGTATCCGTCTTCTGCCGTAGCCAATCACAAGGCGCGACCGCCCTGAGGGACGGACCAGCTCTCCGCGCTCGGGGGCGGGGCGGGAGCCCCCAGGGCTGGGGGCTGCTGGGGCGGGGAGGCTGCGGCAGCCCCGGGCCGGGGGAGGGGGGACGGCACCCGGCTTTTGTGTCCTCCGGGCCTGCGGGGCTTGTCCGGGGTCGCGCCGTCACCGCATCTGTCATTCCGCCTTTGCCCTGTGGCCAGTGACCTCCAGCAGCGACTGTGTGGACAGCGCGGTGCTAGCCTACCCCGACCCCCGCGTTGAACGGCGGGCTCCTCCGCTTGGAAAACAGCCTCATTCCCGCACCTCAGGGGCAGGTCCCGGTTCCCAGAGCTCCCTGCGGGGAAGGAAAGCATAGTTTGCACCCCGGTTGGGACCTGCGGGCTTAACAGAAAAATGGCTCTATTTTTCTAGTGCAGGCAAAGAAAAGGTGAAAACAGAACTGGCTTTTTCCAAGGGGGGCCTCAATTCTACCCAGTGGCGCCTCCAGTCTAAAACGGCTGAGAACCACTGGTTTAAGCACTTGTTTATTAGTATCTTTCTACTGGGCAGAGCCCTCTGTTATTGGGAACATGCACCAGTGCAAATACGGGTGGAAAAATGCCAAAGGTTTCCTCTTCCCTTAAACAGATGTAGCCTTAAGTAAAAACAAAGTAAAATCCTAGTAAAAATGAGGCAGTTCCTAGTTTCTTTTTTAGTGGGCGCATCTACATGTTCATTAATGCACCTCTGCTACTGCACATTAAATTTAATACCTCTAATATGAGGTGCTGCATATAAAGGCGCATTAGCCTATGCCCATGTGCAGTAGCAAGGGTGAACAGTTTTTTGTGACATTTAAGGTGCCGTAGACTAATTGGACTGCGCGTTAGCACAATTTTTGCTGTGACATGCTAATGTGCAGTAGAATAGGTTACTGCACATTACGGCATCTTGTGTTGCCACACCCAGTTAGCAGGTAAACTTGAAGATTTGCTGCCATGCCTTTCCCACCCACCTCAGATTAAGACTACTCTTTTTTCCAAGTGGAGATGAGGCCTAAGACACAAATCTTAAAATCCCCTGAAACTAGTTT